CTTTGGTGAAGAAAGATTCATTGATCTTGACTTTGCTGATGATGCTGTGATCTTCACGGAGTCAATGGAGGCTCTGATCTGAGCTCTCGAGAGACTGAGCGAGGAGTCTGAGTGTCTGGGATTGCGAATGGCCTGGATACAAACTAAGATCCAAGCCTTTAATGACCTCTTGGGCACAGCCATCAGCAGTGTTTTTGTCTGCAGAGAGAACGTCGACCGTGTTGAGAAGTTCACTTACCTCGACATCAACATTCATGTCTCTGGTGACTCTTCCTATGAAGTCAGCAGATGGCCTGGAAGAGCATGAGGTCACTGGAAAGGGGTGTGTGGTGCTTCCGATATCTTTGTAAGAGGACGGAGGTCTAAGTCTTTAGTGTCCTGGAGCTCCCTGTTTTGCTGTATGGCTGCGAGACATGGATGCTATCCAGTGACCTAAGATGAAGACAGGATTCCTTTGGTACTGTTTCTTAGGAGAATCCTGGGGCACCGCTGGGAAATGAGTAGTTGCTCTGGGAGTCCTGAATGAGGCACATTACCTGCCTTGTGAGATAGCATCAGCTATGGCACTACGGCCATGTGGTGTGATTTCTTGAGGGTGATCCAGCTCGCTGGTTGCTTATTGTTGAGAAGCCAAGTGGCTGAACCAGGCAAAGGGGATGTCCGTGTAACACCTGGCGGTGGCAGATAGACGACCATTTCTGGAGGGTGGGACTGGACCCTGTATCAGCCTGGGGGATTGCCAGCCGGGATGCCAGGATGTTTCGTTGTGTGGTGGGTGCAGCAATGCACTGCAGTGCATGATCCCAAACCTGAACTGACCTAACCTGACCTTACCTGTACCTGTTTGTGTGTAGGTCCCTCAGCACACTTACATTAAATGTTTTTAACTGTAGCTTACTCTAAATGTGTGCTCAGTGTCACATAAGAGCACACACTTGCATTACAGAGAGATAATGCAAGAAAAATGCAAAAGTGTATTATTGCATTGTTCGCTTCAAGCAGGTGATAATAGAGGTTGTAAATGTAGCATGTTATTAAAAGTTAATTAAATTTCTACTATGAGTGCCTTATAGTTCCACATAGAAAAGCTCCATAAGCAAGACAGTCGACATGGTTGTGAATTATTGCTGTATACAGCTTTAATGGTTTATTTACGCAACTAGGCCCTTATTATTCACATAGTGCATCATGTCTGTGGTATGAGAGCATCTCAGTTTTTCTTGACTTCTATTAGTGATACACAGATCTGTCTTGTTCTTCATACTTCAGCGGGTGACTTGACTCAATAGCAGACCCAATGGTAATGGTTTGGAGGGTCAGAGAGTTTACACAGGGCTCAGAGGCACACCAACAAAGTAACTACCTTGTATAGGAAGTAGTGGTTTCCCTCCATTCACAAGCCAGGATTCTGTAGGTTTGCATGTGTGGGTGGGTCCTGGCAGCTGGGTTTTCACCGCCTTACCTTCCCACGATGCATTATGCCATATGGTGCATCCATGTCTCATGATTACCAAGGAAAACCTGAAGACACAGCCAAATATTTGAGCAAATGTAACAGAAGTATTATAAAATAATCTCTTCTCGATTGTTTTTATTTTACATTATTCTAGAAGGACATTAGCTGAAATATAATATTGTCTGGCTCATCAGATATATAAAAATCATCAGGTTATTATTCTGCTTTTACAACTACTAGATCTACATAAACAGGTAAATACAATAAACACTGAAGCTCTAAGGAGTGTCAGAAATACTTTAGTTTTCCACCAATCATTTCTTCAGCTTCACAAACACCCCCTACCATACCCCCACCCCTTCCTCTGGAGTCTAGTTTTTTATGTCTTAAACTGACTGGAGCCTGCAGATATTTCTCCTCCATGGAGTCCTGGGTCCTAGCTCTCCCTTTCATAAGTCCTCCAGCTTCTTTCTTTGTCTCTATTGAAAAATCCCTCTTCATAGATGTATCAGACTCTTTCAGTTCCACTTGACCTCCTAATAACCAAGTTCTAATTGAGCTTTTAATGGCATTTATGAGGAAGCTGGCAATCAATCCACAAAAGAAGGTCTGAAGAGAATTTTTGAAAATGTTGATGGCATCAGTTAAAGGCTTAGTCATGGCCTCAGTACGCCGCATTCCTCGTCACTGGTTTCTAAGAAGCTCTGAGGTTGGTTTATTTAGACGAGTTAAGTCCCAGTGTAATGTGTATTATGCAATCGTCTCCTTATACTCAATAACTAGCGGTGGGGCATTTAACAGCAATGCTTCCTGTAGGTAATAATTCAAATTCCTCAACATCTACAGGGGTCGCACAACTTGAGTGTAGCTTCGATGTACAGTATAGTAGATCTGCGGGGTTATGGATATATATCTTTGCTTCAGAGGTAGACAGGACTCCAGACTAACTTTTCCACCAGTGGAACCAGTTTTCTCAGTTATTCGCACCAGCACATGATTTGGTTGTACCCACTTTTTTAAATTTGGTATTACTGTATGGTTGAAAGTGAAATTATTTCTTTTTCGCTGGCTCAGTCAGTCTCTCACTCTCTGCACCTGTATTTTCACTTGTGTCTGCCTTGGGACTAGGGTTGGGCTGATGGACGATGCCACCATCCATCACAGATGGCTGACAGACATTACCACCATGAGCCAGTATGTTGAATGTCTTTATTGTCACAACCTGGCTGTTATCATCCAAATTTTCCATGTTGCATATGAGTGGCCCTAGTTTAGGCAAACTACCTGTCTAGACTTCAGTGACTTCAAATAATTCATAAAGTTTTTCTGATCGGTTAAAAATTGCTATGAAAGGCTAATAAAACGTTACTATGAATCAAAATTAAAAAATGAAGTTGTTCCCGATCACACCTTTGTTTAGAAAAAAACAAAACAGCATGTTGTAATTATATTTGTGTTTAATCAATTTATAAATGGTCATTTAAAAAGTGTAACAGAAACTATATAAAAATTTACAGTACTTTTTCAAGACGACCCTCGATTTCATCGTCCATCACGATGTTTCACTATAGACATCGTCACATGCCAATTAGGTAGATATGGCCCAGCTCTACACAGGACCTCCCTCCGGCTCTCGCTCTCCACCAGCCTCCTCCCCTTTCTTCTCATTTTGTTTCTTTTAAATAATCAGCTATAGATGGCTTTGTTTTTGGAACCACAGTTAAAGGGATTGTTTTACCTGTTCTATCATGAGTGCATGTATACTTGCATACTCCTGCATGCAGGTAGGGAGAGACCAACTGAGGAAAAAAAAAGCCACAGTGAGCCAGGGAAGAAGAAAAAATATATTTCAATCGCAATTCATTAATGCAGTACCTGTGCAGGAGCAAAACATCCTAATGATTACCACATGCTGGCACAGATGTGACCACGTGAAATTTTAACTCACACACTCTCAATAAATGGCTGCATATACAACCATTTCCATTTCAGTCTGGAACCCTTGTGGGTCTTTTTTTTCTCCAACCGTTCTAATGTAGACTGGCCAATGTGTGATCACTGTCTGTTATGTGCAGCTTATGGATGGGTGGCCAGATATTTTATTGTGCAGTTCATAAACTATTGTCAAACTCTCTGCAATGAAGTGATGTTATCCAGGTCCAAATGCAGCAAAGTATTCATAAACCATGAGTACTACCACCATACTTGTTGGCATGAGCTTCTTAATACCAGATGTAGCTCTTGATTTTTACCAGGCATATACAGTATGGACAAAAGTCTTGGGACCTATTCATCCAGAACAGCATTTGTGAGGTCAGGCACTGATGTTGCATGTGAAGACCTGGCTCACAATAATCCATTCTAGTTCATCCTAAAGGTGTTTGATGGGGTTGAGGTCAGGGCTCTGTGCGAGCCAATCAAATTCTTCCACACCAATCTCCCCCAACCATGACTTTATGGACCTTGCTTTGTGCAATGAGGCACACTCATGCTGGAACAGAAAAGAACCTTCCCCAAACTGTTCCCACAAAGTTGGGAGCATAGTTCCAAAATGTACCAGAAGCTTGCCCTAGCCCAACCCCAGAACAACAACCCCATACCCTTATCTCTCCTCCACCAAACACTACATTTGGCACAATGCAGACAGGCAGGTAACGTTCTCCTGGCATCCATTGAACCCAGACTCATCCATCAGGCTTCTTGTCCCTCCACAGAACATGTTTCCACTGCTACAGAGTCCAGTGACAGTGTGCTTTACACCACTCCATCAGTTGTTCGGCATTGCTCTTGATGATGTGAGGCTTGCATGCAGTCGCTTGGCCAAGGAAGCCCATTCCACGAAGCTCCCGGTGCACAGTTTTAGTGCTGGGGTTAATGCCAGAGAAAGTTTGGAACTCTGCAGCTTTTCAGTCAGCAGAGCGTTGCCGACTTTTACGCTCCTCAACACTTGGCGACCCCACTCTGTTACTTTACATGGTCTGCTACTTCGTGCCTGAGTTTTTGTTGTTCCTCAATGCTTCTACTTTGCAATAATACCACTTACAGCTGACTATGGAATATCTAGCAGGGAAGAAATTTCACAAACTGACTTATTGCAGAGGTGGCATCCTATGACAGTACCACACTTGAATTCACTGAACTCTTCGGAACAACCCATTCTTTTACAAGTGTTTGTAAACTGATTGTATGTCTAGGTGCTTGATTTTATACAACATGGCAATGATCCATATAGTGTTACTAGGCTCATGTAAGGTAAAAAAAAAATCTACTTGTAGGTCATGTACAAATATTGTTCCCAAGGTGCTAAGCATCAGGTCAGTGAGGAGAATGGAAAGATAGAAACCATAAGTGGATGGAACATGTTCCTTCTGTGTACACTTACCTGATTTGTAATCATCCCATCTCTTCTGCTATATTACTGTTCTTACATTTTTTGGCATTACTAACTAGGCTCTTTAAAACACCGCATTACACACAACAGAAAAAGTTATCTATGACATCAAGACATAAATAAAACACCCAACACATTTTAGAAAGTCTTGATATTTATCGTTTTGTAGCAAAAACAAAACAAGAACAAAAAAAGTGTTTGACCACAGAAACATTTTCAACATGTCCAAGATAGGAACGAACACAAGTGTGTTATAACAATCCAAATCGGGCACCTTCTTCAGGTCTGCCAAACTGAAATATTAATAGTGCTACTGTACAGTAACTTCAGCCTTAGTCTCACTTCATTTTTACACAAAGTCAATATACAGTGCTGGGAGTAGCAATGAGTTAGAGAGGCAGCATGAACAGAAGGAAGTGTGACGAGCAGATTGGGGCCACAAGAGCTCCGATGATTCAGCTAAGAATTTCACACAGTCCCATGAAGATGCCACAAGCAAACCCTCAAATGGATTGTGCTGAAAAAGAGATGTGTGATATGGGAACCGGTTGCATCGTCTGAATCTGTAATCCCATGCAAAATCCTTCATAGTCCAGCTGGAACAGCACTGAAATAAGACATTTATTATTCCCATTCTTCCCTCTATTCAGTGTATTCAGTTACTAATAGCCTGTCAGAATGCTGACACCAACTGTATTAGCTGCTATCCATTCCCTTCTGCATTCAAACTAAAGAAAGTGTTCTGCAAACTGGGTAGTGCAATAAAAATAGCTTCACAGAAAAAAACAACAAAAAAGACATGTTTGGCATGAAATTGTGACAGGAGACACAACTAAAGGTAAAAGAAAATGGATGAAGATGCCTGTCTTTGCCACATGCTCTAAACCCCTTCAACAAGGGAAATAACAGGCTGTAACAGAAATGTCTGACCTGAAAAGAATAAAACATAAAATAAACATATCAGTATGTCAGTTACACTGGGGGTCCAGAGTCTAATATTCAGGCATTCCCCTCCATCGGCGCAATCTGTTCAGCCTGACGGATGTGATGGCAGAGGTGGTGATGTGCAGCGGCATGCCTGCCTTGACCCTGTTTATTCACTCTCCTCTTCCGAGAAGCACCTGTCCCCTACTCAGCATTGCCGCTCACGTGTGGAGGCCACAAAGCTGGGGGAGAGTGTTAATCCCGCACTGCCCACCGTGTCGGCAGCAGTCTTACACGTGTGGGTTAATGTTCCTCCCCCCCGCCCCAACCCATAATCTTATGGCTAGTTATCATCTGGCGACGCCTCCTGACCCCGATGAGGATGGATCATGGATGTGACATCAGTCACGCGACTGAGAGATCGTGAGGATTCTCACGGTGTTTCCGTCCAGTACCGGAGGAGGAGGCCGGGTTCGTGTTGGCTGACTGCTCCTCTTCCCGCTCTGCTCTGGAGTATATTATGGCACAGGGTGGAATCACCCTTTACAGTGTTGTGGCGAGGCTGAGATGCGGATTCGGCAGCCCTCCCCTCTATTTGGCTCTCTGGGAAATGGTCTCCTTGGGGTCAGGAAGGTGGCCTTTAGGGTGGGGCACTGTGCTGTCAAACCGTGCTCTCCAGGACCCACTCTGAACCCTCCAGGCTCCCCTTGCCCTCCTCTGCATCTTCATCGCATTGCAGCAGCATCCCGTTCACAGAGAGGCTCCTGGTCCAGACGCTCCTCACCTTGCGGGGGTAGGGCCGTGCCTGTGTACTGGGGGCAGCCGCCGCCTCCCCACCCACATCCCCCATGTCAAAGGACTGGCTCCTTCTGGGCCTGTTGCTCTCCAGTGGGAGTGTAAGCAACCGACTCAGCCGGGAGTCCGTCGGCGTGCCTAGCAGAGGCTCCCGGTCCGTGGAAGGAGCCACGGGAAGCACCCCTGCGGCAGAGGAGCCCGGGTCTCTTCCTGCAGCCTGACCCCTCAACTCCAAGGAGGTGATGGCCCCCAAGAGGTGGTCCAAATTGGGTCGCACCTTGGAGTGGACTGGCTTCCACCTCCTTCCGAGCGAGGTGCCCTGGTTGTGACCATCTCCATTTCGGCCCCCCAGTGAGGAGGAGGACGAGGAGGTAGAGGAAGAAGAGACTGTGAGGTTTCCTTGCAGGGTGCTACACCTGAACGTCACCACCTCCTCCCGCAGTGTCACCTTGGGCTTGGGTGGAGTGGGTGGCGCTCCATTCTGCACCATGCGACTCCCATTAGTCTGCGAGTAAGTATCGCTGACGGCAGACAGCTTGACTGTCACCTCCTCAGCTGGTCCTGCCTTGTAGCGCACCATCAGGATGACGATGAAGACCAGCAGGGTGGCCACGATAACACCACCCACCACGAGGATCATGGTGCCGCCCAGGAGCTGCCCGCGCAGTGCCTGACACTGAGGGTAGTCATCGCGCGTGAAGAACTGCACGCAGCCCACCACATTGGTGGCAGTGAGGGTGGTGGCCGTGTCCTCCCAGGCGGCCAGGACACACAGGTCATAGCGTGTCCCGGACACCAGGTTTGTCACCAGGAAGGCTTTACTGGACGCGGGGATCATCCTTCAAGACCAAAAAACCAGAGAGAAGTCAGCTGCAATGACCACTTTAACACCAAGATCTCAATGGGCGGATGTAACTAAAAGTCTACGATTAAGGTCTAAACACATGCATTTTACACCAACATAAGCTCTGAGTAAACCATTTAACATTCCTGTTCATTCCCTGAACGCTATGAGTGGTCACTCCAACAACCAGCATCAACGAGATTCTGCAATCAGACTCTGCTCTCCGGCATTTTTTCTCAGCCTGGTTTTTAACTGACAGCCAAGGTCCGTGAACCATCTGTGCTGGAGTTCGGCTTAGCTGTCCTCATCACATCTCAGAGTCACGCAACAGAAAAATAAGGAAAAATGGGGCAAGGTGAGTGCTTGTTATAATGTCTCCAAGATTACGCTTTTTGGCAGGTGGAAATTCTCTGCTATACATTTCTCTGCCCCTTGGTCCCTTGTGTCATATACATGTCCAAGCTGATGTTTTCCTAGGGGTTGAAGGAAGGTCATAGGCTGAATCACGGCTTTTTAGAAAGGAGACAAGTTTTTACTGCAAATGAAATGCAGTCTATACAGTACAGGGCTATAAACTTGGGGTCCATCTTTTCAATGTTTGCGGCTCTTTCCGCCCCCCTCCTGTCTAACACACATTCTTTCAAAGTTGACGTGTCTGGGTACAAATAACAACACTGTCACCAAGTCAGAGAAGATTACTAATGACATTAAATGCAGTTTGCACTGAGGGTGGAAGTTTGTGCCGCCCCCAGTGACCCAGTCCTGTCAATCAGATGTGTCGGGAAAAAGTGAGCCTGACGTGCAGTTAAATAGATCAGGGAAGTGTGTCCAGAGACTATAAAGGGGTGTAGACTGGGGGGGGGGGGCTTTATGCATCACCATGACTCCCTGGATGACAGAAACAGAGGGGAAATCCTGTAATGAAACTGACTGCAATTTTAAACCAGAAAAACAATCCAATAAATAATAAATAGGCCAAAAAAAGTCTTCAATGTCTAAAAATGCGGGAATTAATATTTAATTCATGTAAAAAAAACAATCTACAGACATTGAGAAATGCAGCAATTCTTTTTTTTTCACTCATGCCTCCTCTGATCGCGGTCATGACGGATTTCAGGCTGTCTGTGTTATTAGATTCATCCTGTTAAATTCAAACACGCTGCCACAAAGCGACACTCAAGAAAATGGCTGGTAAGCCTTATCATAAATCAGATAAAAATGCAGAGCGGAGTGTTTCCCACATAGGGGAGAGCAGGCAGTTCAAAGATGCTCCAATGAAGTTCAGAATGAGCCCAGTTTAAAGTACAGCTTCGGGGGCTGGAGTGGATATGAATTACCAGTCGGAAAAAGGGTTCAGGGCTTTGCCAGAAATAGCAAAATGAGGAAATATAAGATTTTCCATCCAGGATGCAATAAACTGGATTTATAATTACCTCTTTAAGTGACGTTTTCACACATTTGAAGAAAAGGTACAGAAAAGTTATAAAAAACATGTGAAGTCAATCATTTACAAGTTGTCAGTGTTCTGGCACGTTAATCAGGAAGCCTAATGCGGAGCAGGACAGAAATATATTTCAATGTGTACGTTCTTTTGTGATCTCATTTTAAAACTATCCATCCATCCCTCCATCCATTTTCTATACCCACTTGTCCTATGTGGGGTCACGGGGGTCTGGAGCCTATCCTGGAAGCTACAGGTGCAATACAGGGAACGACCCTGGGTGGGGCAGCTACCCGTCACAGGGCTACCATTCACTCACAAACCATTCACTACAGACAACTCCAGTTCACCTTAGCAGGTTTTTGGTGTCAGAAGGGAAACCGGAAGAAACGCAATGAGGACGCGGTGAGAACATGCAAACTCCACACACAGAGAGCTGGGTGGAGACTCAAATTGCCCTCCAACTAAAACTGCAATATACGTTCTATTCCATGCTGTTGAGCATGGACAGATTTTCTTGCAGGCACTTTGAAATATTACATTAAAATATACTTACAGAAGCACAATAAGTAAATGTAATAAGTAAGTGCCTGCACTTTTGAGAAAGTAGAACATGAACAAGCCACTGCAGTTACCTTACAAAGTGTGCGGGATTCTGGGGCTTCTGCCAGATGAACTCAATAGTACCGGAGCCCACTCCTACACCAAGATATTAATACGCAAGTGAATGCACCGGGATCTACTGAAACTATATCACTGTGTACATAGCCTGTTCAATTCATAGACATCATTGACGATGAAGAGATATCAATATGCATCCTACCCTAATCACATCCTTATCACATACACTTCTTTAGAAGGAAAGTACAAAATACTATATATTATTAATAACTGCAAAAATAAATTCCAGTTCTGGTAAACTTATGTACAGATGGCCTACATATGTACTTAAATTCACATTATGACGTACTGATTTTGATGACTATATTTATCTAATCAAAATGTTATTTAATAATTTGATTCCAATAAGATGTTGCTACTGGGAGCTAATAATTAACAGCCCTAATGTCGAGGAAATGGGGCATCATTTGTGAATCAGATTACTGTGTGGGATTAAACAAGAAAACCCCAGGAAATGTAGCACTTGGAAAGGCTACAACACAGCAAATCTGTAGAACCCGCCTGTAGCTTATTTAGCAGCCTGGCTGACAGCCCAATCAGAGCCCTGTACGCCCCTTCCTTATGCTGCTAACCCAAGACAGACCCTTCTGCTGTCCTGCTATAGGCGGACCGCGGTCCGGGTCCGGACCCAGAACCTGTCCCATACGGACCCGGACTGACAGCCAAAACATTTAGTTATTATTTAAAACCTGACGGGGCGCTTTTATTTTAACCGGCGCAGCGTTTGTAGTCTTTTCGGTAGTGGTTTTGCGGTAGTGGTTTTGCAGTAGAACCTCCGTTTCCCACGCCAAGAGAAGGGTCCAGCTGCAGACGCCTGTAGAGTGGAGCTCCACCAGAAATACGTCACCTCCACAGGAAACACGTGGCCTCAACTCTGTGTCACAGCGAATAAACCCTAACCTTAACCTTAACCCTAACCCTATTCATAAACCTAACCCTAACCGGAGCTCCACTTTACGTCCTTAAAGATCACGTATTTCCGGTGGAGCTCCACTCTACAAGCGTCTGCAGCTAGACCCTCTTGCACGCCAATGAAAATCAAACGCCTTTGACCGCCAAGCAAGACGTTTATAGTTCGGCGTATGCAGCCCTTTGTCTGCGCTAATGTGCCTTTCGTGTTAATAGCAGCAGCGAAGCTAACACCCGTAACCAAAAAACGTAATGTTCCTAACAGAGTGGCTGCGCTCTCCTGAAATCGTAAACAATATGTATTATGTAACACGTTGGATAAATAGACGTAGTTTATTGTTGATTTCATGTTTGTTGAAGTTTCTGCATTTTAACATATGTATAAAGTAATGTTATCTGTTATATAAATAAACTCGTGAAACAAAAAATGTACGTTTTCAGGGCTGCCAAATCTCAAGCATCTGGCATGACACTCACACTTTCAGACTCATGCTGGAAATCTTACGGCAAATCTATATTATTCCATTATAAAACCTAAAATTAGCTACGTCAAAAGTGTATTTACACGGTTAAATACAGAAGCAGACTATTTACAAGGTAAGAACTGTTACATGTGTGCAGACATCTCGAACTGAAAATCTCACTCCAGCCAGCTGGCCGAAGTTCTATGTCACGTGACAATAAATAATGTCAAAACGTTTTTGAATTGTACTGAATTAATTTGATTTGACAGTCAAACAACATTGATTACATACAATGTTGATGCAACTAATAGGCTACTTAAATATATATCAAACTATTAAATAGTTAGACATTATGATCTTCCGGACCTTTGCTTCAAGAATTTTTCTCTAACTGGACCTCTTTAAATTTTAATTGAATACCCCTGGTGTAGTCAGTCATGACAACCAGGAAACTGGAAGATGCTGGGTGGCAAAAGCCAAAAAACTGTGCCTTCAAGCCTCAGCATTGGTCCAAAGTGTATTCAGACAGTTTGTTACTGCTGTAGCTCGCAAAGTGAACCACCCTTTTGTTTTGCTTGTGTCCTTTAAACGATGATTTTTTTTCCAAATACATGCTTGGAGCGTACAGAGAGCAGAGTCTGCACTCTCCCCGAATGGTAAGTACTCTGTCTGATCTTGCAGTCAACACCTGTCATGTTATCCTAGTATTTGTCTGTCAATAAGCATTGCTTACATTTTTATACAGTAATATTGACACTAAAATTCATTTTCATGCTTATAACTTTGTGATTGCTAGTACTAAGCTTGTCATGGATCGCTGGTGCTATGAAAGGATAAAGAATAATCTAGATATAATCGAGTGAGTAAACTGGGCTACTAGCTGCAAGGAAATAAAATGAAAATTCTGAAATATACGGTGTTCTACCACAAACTTGAAGTATTCATAGTCTTGACATGAGGGAAAAACTAGTTTTGACGCTATCAGAATGAGAGTTGGTGATTCATACTGTGGGAACAAGAGACTCTTTCAGTGGTTATGACTAGCACTTGATCTGACATGAACGTGTAAAAATCCAGGAGCCGGGAAATTTTGGTTTTTCCTCATAACAAGGAGGATGTTGACCAAAATGAAATACAGCTATGTTCTCTCTGCAGGAGCAACAGAAAGCTGGAGAACATGGACGGATGTACTTAGCTCACTGAATGCAGGAAGCGTGTGTTTGATCTGTAGGTTTTAGCAATCCATTTTCTGGATGTGCTCTGATTAAATGAAATCAACAGAAAAAAGCAGAGCATGAAAGCTTAGGTTACAAATGGGTTAAATCCACCAAAAGTACATTCTTCAGCTGACAGTGGACAATCCATGCATTATGTTGTTTTACAGACAGTATTAATCACCATGAGTTATACTTTGTCATTATCTAATTTGCTGCTTAGTAGAGGCTTTTGTCTAAGGCGACTTAGTGGTTTTCATTTTGTATTTTTTTTCTATTTTTCGCCTGGATGCACACAGAAAGCAATTTCACATTAAGTACCTTGCTCAAGGGAGCACAACAGTATTCATGCCAGAAAGGAAACTTTTAACCTTCTGCTTACAAGTCAGGTTCCTCGCCCACTAGTTCACATCACTGCTAGCAGCAGAATTTTGTTAAACCATGTTTGTCAGCATCAAATACATTCTACAAAGGCTCGGAGACGAGGTTCACTGTGAGGTTGGAAGAAATGAACACGAGTCAGTGTCCTGCAGCTTCTCTTACCTGTATATTAGGACTTCATCGTCAGAGCAGTTGTATTGTAGCTGGTACATCTTGACTCTCGGGGCACCACCACTGACGGACCAACTGACTAGAGCAGAGACAGCGGTCACTTCAGACACAGACACCGACCTCTCGGGTTGGCTTTTTCCATCGTTTTTGCCAGCCCTGTTGGAGCTAGTGATGTCAGAAAGGCGCGATTTGGGCTGTGTGGCGCGGTCGGTGCCATTGCTGAGATGGGGTAGCTGGACAACGGACAGCTCCGCCACAGCGGTCGCCTCGCCAGCCACGTTGGCCGCAATGCATGTAAAAGCACCTGAGTCCTTGGTTGTGGTGATAAGGATTTCAAGAGTGCCATTCTCATAGACTACAGCTCGGGTGGAATTACCCACCAGGCGCTCATCAGGAGCCACCCAGTGGACGGAAGGCGTGGGGTCCCCTGCAGCTACACACTTAAGGCTGGCACTCTGCCCTTCTAGCACGAGCAGCTTGTGAGTGTGCTGGGTAATGAGGGGCTGCTCACAGATGAATTCCTCCTCAGCAACGGACCAAAAGTAGCGCCCCTTGAGGCGTGGAGGGGAAGCGCAGGTCTCTAGGTCATCGTCCCTCTCGAGGCGCCGCAGCCAAAGCATCTCGCAGTTGCAGTGCAGGGGGTTCCCGCCAAAGCTGAGAGAGAGCTGCGGCGCATATGGAGTGACCGGCGCCACGCTCTCCTGGGCCCGTGCAAAGATGGGGTCAGGTGGTAGCTTCTGCAGCCGGTTAGAGGTGAGATCCAGGCGGGCAAGGCGCTCGAGGTCAGCGAAGGTGCCCTCGGGGATATAGTCGATGAGGTTGTGGTCAAGGCTGAGCTGGTGCAGGTTGACCATCCGTCGTATGGAATACCATGGCAGTCGGTGTAGGTTGTTGTACGACAGGTCCAGGTCCTCCAGGGAGGGCACGAGGTCATCGAGGGCACGATCAGAGACACGGCTCAGCTGGTTGTTGCTGAGGATGAGGTGCTGCAGGTTGAGCAGGCCGCGCAGGTCGTCAGGCCCAATCTCCGCCAGCCGGTTGTTGTCCAGGTGCAGCGCCCGTAGGTTCTCCAGGTCGGCAAAGGAGAGCGGCTGGATGGAGCTGATAGTGTTGCGTGACAGCGTCAGGTCCACCAGGTCCGTCATGTTGGCAAAGTCCTGCCGTGACACCTTGACAATGTAGTTCCCGCCCAGCCTCAACTCCACCGTCTGTCGGTCCAGGTCCGGTGGCACAAACAGCAGCCCTTTGGATGGGCAGAGCGTGCCCAATGACTCGGACAGGTTCTGGCAGACGCAGTACTTCGGGCAGGCATGGACCATCATCACCGTGGTTCCCAGGAGGAGAAGGTGACGGAGCACTTGGTCCATGGTGAATTCACTCACGCACAGGAACCTAGTACGCGGAGAAAGAGAGAAACCGACAAACATCCAGTTTAAAATAAATTTCACTGTACATTAGATACTTTAAACATGTAATATTGTATTACTGAAACTTTTCATGGTATTATTGCAAGCACAACCACGTTTTAAAAAAGGCAGTTAATAGTCATTCATTTACTGTAACCGCTTATACTATTCAGGATAGTGGGGGGGGTCTGGAGCCTATGGGCACAAGACAGGGCTTAACCCAGGGGGCTAGAACCCATCACAGGGCACACTCACCCCTATAGACAGCTTGGTAATTCCATTTAACCTCAGCATGTTTTTGGACTGTGGAAGGAAACAGAAGTTCTTGAAAGAAACTCTATGATGGAACCGGAAGAACATGGGAACTCCACAGAAGTAGCATTGGTGCTGAGACTCAAACCCAGGCCCCCGAGGTGTAAGGAGACAGAACTAGCCATGGCACCACAGAGCCATATGATTTGGAAATGCTTTCTTTACAAATTTGTGCTAATGAATCTATTCAGAAAATAAACTCCCCTGATTGGGAGGCAGGTAGGAGGGGGTATCACTCTGCCGCCCACCCCCCCAACCCTCTCTGTCCTATTCATCACAGTGGCCTTCTTCGGAGGCCACACACTTGCACATAGAGCTTTTACTTGGCTCTGCCCGGCCGCAGACTGACGCGTCTCGGTCGAGCTGCGCAGCGACCCGGCACACCGTCGACTCTCCAAACTCACTTTCGGGGTGAACAGTCCTGACCGCGGCTCTTTGGTGTACCGCTAAGAGTATGTGTGCACACGTCGGAACACCCGAAACGCCATACTGGGGGCAATTAAGCAGAATTTAAGGAAACTGCTGGAAAAACCAGTGGACATACATATTTCAGAGTGTCCTGACAAGAATGATGCCTTTATACTGCAGAGCCACCACTTTTAAAAACAGCATTCTGGTGCAGTCCTTCAATATATGTGCACAAAAATAAACTTGGTGAGTAGCTGCCTATTTTTCTTACTGAAAAAGGTAACAGTCTAGTGGGAAAAATGCAGCAGGTATATAAATATATATTTAGATACCTCAAATATCACAAAAACAGCAAGAAATCTGGGGCTGGAAGCCAACGGTATCCAAGCTTCTGTTCTAATATAGGTGACAGCTTTTTGCATCTAGATTATACATTCCGTGGGTTGCAGTTTCAGTACTGTGAAGCATATATATCTCTACTTCATAATGTTATCAAAACATCAATTTTTTTTTATTTCATTATTATGGCATGATGTGTGAATTGTGTTATTTGCAACTTGATTTCAGGTTTATTTGCGTGTCAGAGAAATTTCATCTAAGTAGAAGTGGCCCTTGAATTATTTCCAGTGCAGGTGACCCCAGAGTCACAGTGCGGATGACGCACATAAACGACGGTCACCTTCTGTGGAAGTCATGCATTTTTCCAACCCTGTGAGAAAGCAAAATCAACTCTGAAATAAGAATGAACTCTGCACTGAGCAGACGCACAGTCTATGATTAACTATTAATAGACCCAGACCAAATATATGAGCAATTAGCCACTGACGAGATGTTGCTAGTTTTGGCTGACATGACTGAAAGTGAGCTACATCAGCACATCCCTGACATGTGAAGGTGCCTCCGTGAATCACTCCAAATGCCTGACAAATGCCTGACAAAAACAGCCGGGGATCAGTGCTAGCACCCACCGATCTGCCCCTGATCCTTCGTGATTTCCTTTCGCATTTCTCTCCATAACATTATGGCTCGGAATTCACTCATTTAGACATTAAGACCATTCATACAGCACGGTATAATTTAATGCTATTAATTTATCTCTGTAATTAGGTACTCAATTGTTTTACACCTTCAAATAGTTCAATGTGCTTTATCTCTGACTAGATCTACAGCTGTAAAAAGGGTCTGAATAATGAAACTTACAATCTGGACAGAATCTTAAAGAAAACAACATTCTGGGTGCCCAGGTGAATGCAAACAGGCACGCTTCTTCTAAATTGGTCGATAAAGACACTTCTTCAGTTGTCCTGCAGAACCGCTGCTCAGTCAAGCACTATATTAGATGAATGCAGCATGTCCATTAAGTGAGCCACCTGAAGCCCTTTCAAATGGCTTCATTATTATTATTTTGCCGCTTGACTTCCTGTTTCACACAGAGCCAGTTAGGATCTGTCCTTTTATACAGCCGGAGCAGTTCAACACTATCCTATTTGAAGGTGGGAACATGAACATCATCTGTGGGTTCTTAAACAAGCAACCACCCGGTTACAAATTGGTGTCTTTAACTAGCCTTAGTGCTTAAAGGAACTGCACTGTAGGTTTTGCTGGTGTGACAATGAGCCATGTGTATGACATGTACTGTAGGTACATTTAAAATGTGAAATCTGAGTAACACCATGGTGATTATGAGCCTCTTACACGTCCACTACAATGTTACAATGAGACCTTAAAAACAGCCTGAAACCAGCTTTAGTATCAGTCTACATACAGAACAGGTGTATGCCTGCATAAAGTGGAATAATCTTTATATTACAGTATGTATGATGTACTGCAGTGAAATATTACAATAGATCTTACAGTTAGATTATATAATATCTGTGTGTGTGTGTGTGTGTGTGTGTGCTTGCACGCGTGTGTTTCTGGGGTTACATTATATACCACTCTGACAGAAAACACACCGCAAGGCAATAAAAAAAAAAACCTGAAACTGAAAAGCTGCGGATTTGTGGAAGTCCGTCATATTGGCAGTAAAGATCTGCAGAAATATATGGGGCAAGGAGGCCTGGAATAATGGAACGAGGTTGGGTAGTGAAAATAGATAGATTAGAGAAGATATAGTACAGAACTACATAAGAGGAGGAGTGCAAAATGTAGGGAGAGCCATTCTGTGCAGCCCTTCTAAATTCAACATTTGCAATGTCAGAGGCTGCCTAAGAGATGACGCGAGTGCAGCATGCATTTCTCACCGCAAGATGGGAAGGCTGAGGGGCCCATGTGGCAGATCTTGGAAAAAGCATAATGTCATTGTGTCCTTGTGCCTCGCACCTCTCAGAAATGGAGAACCAGATCAGATGAAATCTCCACTACAGCCTCTTAGCCAGAAGAATGCATTTCCTGCTCATTGCCAAGGAAGTTCATTTCTGATGAAGCCCTAGTACATTAGTCAAAGGGTCACCTTAAATAAGCCTGTTCCTCAAAATCTATTAATATCAAAATTCAGTGCATCAAAAGTCTTCATACAATTATCAAAAGGAGTACAGAAATACTAAACCAGAACATAAGAAATATACATTTCTGAACACACACACACACACACACACAGGTTTGTAATTATATCGCTGGTCCCCACAATGTAGTCATGTAAACATGACTACACCACATTTTAAGGCTTTCATCCACTACCTTTCATAACAATAATTAAGGATAGTAATGATAAAAAGTTAAATATCAAGAATACTAATCACCAAAAAGTCATAGTGGTATTTGCCAGTGGAGGTAGTGGTAGTGAGTGCAAGGTGAAGTGCAGGAAAGATAAATTACTGCATACTGTAAGCACTACAAATACTATACAAATGTGAAGGTGATTGGTAGATAAATATATAATTGAAAGTACAGAATACAAGTAGTATATAAGGGCTATAAGGACATAACCAGTGAACACCAGTCCAGCAGTTAATGACAGAGTGAGTAAAGAAGAAGTCAATTTAACAGCAAAAGTCTATTAGAACCTCATCACTGGAAGGAGATTTATAGTCGTATGACCTGGGGGACAAAAGACTTCCTCAGTCTGTCGGTAGAGCAGGGGTGGGACAGCAGCCTGTCGCCGAATGTAAAACTCCTCTGCCTGGTGAATGTACTGCATGACCAGCTGGTCCAGCTGCATAGTGTCCCTCTTCTTAATGCTGCCTCCCCAGCAGACCACGGCAGAGAAGAGAACACTGGCAGAAGATCAGCATGAGCTTCCTACAGATGCTGAAGGATCCCAGCCTCCTAGGGTATAGTGTGTTGGTTTTGGCTGAGCTGTCCAGTCTATCATCCAGCTGCCATCCCAGGTACTTACCCTAACCACTCTTAAAGTCCACCACCACATTAGTATTATTAAACCAAACATCAGCTATGTGTGCATCTACATTAATACCTCTTTGGTGTTAATAACCCTCAATTTCACTGATAATTATATAATTATACATTGACGGCTTTTCTGTGACTGCTTCTGACAGCTCCAAGTCTTACCTCGTTCTGTATTATAATCATTCTAATTAATTCCTCTTTTTGGAATCAGGGGCTACGGAGCAGACTGGTCCCTCATTGTGTGGCTAATTAAGCACGATGCCTACTGTCCCTCTTTATGATCTCATCGCTAATCATCTGAAAATTTTCCTTCAGGAGGATCAAAAATACTAACCACAGCACACACATATACCCAGATCGCAAATACACATGCCTGCATGAACATATGCATATATGAATGCTAATTTTCCAAAACATTGATCCAATACAGGAATGCTCTAAGTTTGGAGACTATCCCAGAAGAACCCAAATCGGAGCCACCTTGGAAGGGATCCAGGCAATCATGGGGCACCCAAAGACACACACTCAGTCATGCACTAAAGGTAATACAGAGATACCGATTCCCCTAACCGCAAGACTCTGGAATATCGGAGTAAACGTGAGTACCTGTAGGAAACTTACATACATCACTTTGTAGATGTTACCCACAAAACCAGTATACTGCCCACCATAAAACCCCAGTATTTAAATTACCAAAGTGAAACATGCAGTTAAAATTTCTTCTAAGCATTCAGTGATCTTATTATGATAATGTAAAAGATGAAATATTGTCCGCCAGGCATTAAACACAAATCCATGGAGAGCGTTTGTTTAGAGAAAGTGTTGGTGACGGTAATTATATTTCAGAAGTCTCATTGTTTTACCAATAAAATCCTGTGCTACACAGGGGAAATTAGCAGCAAGCACGAATATATTTTT